TGCTCATTTTTCCCATATGGAGCTCTCACCACAACCTCACCCCAGGAAAGGCCCACTCTCTCCTACCCAAGATTCCCTGGTTCCTACTTTCAAGGAGGGAAAGTCTTGCCCCAGATACAAATCTTAATGAAGAGCCTTTTGTCTTAAAACAACAACAAAAAAATGAGTGGGAGAGCCTATGCTCCTCCCCATGACCCCATTTTGATGGCTAAGGCTGACTTTTGGGAATCCTGACCACAGCAAGAGAGGCGAACAGACCTGTGGCAGTACCTCTCATCTGGAGCAATTAGAGGAAAGGTACCTTGGAGGGAATGAGCAGACTTCTTAGTGCCAGAAACCATCAAGCTCAAAGTAGGAGTAGAATGGGACCCTCTTGGTCACTCTTGTTTCAGACATTTGCCAGTTTGTTGGAAGACCCTTGTTCTGGAACAACCCAGTCCTAGTATGTGAGAGCTGGCCCCAAGGTGCCATGAGATCAAAGAAAAAAGAAGCATACAGATCTGAATTGCACAGAGTACAATTTGTCAGGGTATTTTGCTGAGGGAAGCATGGTCTGGGTGGCAGTAAGTCCTGTAATGTACTTGGTTTATCTTAAGATAATATCAGAGTCAGGCACATCCCTGGACCCTGGATCCATTTGTAAAGCCCACATGTGACTCTAATGGCTTTATCTATTTATTGTTTCTAGGAAAGTATGCAAGAGAAGCCAGCTAGGGTAACTCAGGGGCAATCATGACTATGGTCATATGGATCTGAATCCATACAACGCTGCAAGAGCAAAGGTTCAATCAAGTGCCCACACCTTCTCCACACTATGGTCCTTATGTTTGTGTACTTTTCAAAGCCTTTAACATACTTACTTACTCCTCATATGCATAGCAATTCTGCGTGGCAGGGAGGGAAGCAGGGTCTTTGATAGAAGGAGAATCCAATGTATGGGTGCAGGGTCTGGGTTCGGCATTCTTGCCTGATGTCATGTTAGTATGTATTGACAGAGCTAGGACACCAAGACCCAGTGCTGGGGTGGGGGTGGTGGAGTTGGGAGATGTTTCCCTCCTGTTTGTCCTTATGTTTTCAAGCCTCTCTCAATCATCTTTACTACTTTTCCCATGCAAGGGGGGTGGACATATCTGATTAGTCATGTTGGTGAAGCAACTGGGCCTGTGGAGCTCTTGTTTCCTGCTCCCTTCTTCCTCATATAGCTATCTGCCCACAGAAGCACATGTTCTACTCTACCCGTCCATTCTACAAGGAGGTGAAGTGCTGGAGGAGGAGCTGCCCCAGACTGACATTGTGAGTGGATTGGTAAGGATCAGGAATTCATCTTGCCAGGGACATAAAACACATCTCCAATATTAGTGTTGTTGGTAATAAAATGATGTTTTGGTTTCAAACAGCCTCATGCCTTGGCCTTGTATTTCAGTTAGCTCAGTGGGAAAGAGGGATTTTATTTTGGAGTCCAATAGACAGATCTTAGGATGGGGCCAGTTTTAAGGAATATGGTAAGGTATGGTAGTAGAAACTAATTATTTCATTTGGGAAAGCATCCTAACCTTAGGGTAGGGAACTTTTGAATTGCAGTGTAGTAGTTATCTAAATACACATTCCATACAAAGCTGTGGAAGTCAAAGTCAGCACTTCACACACAGTTGTACAACCCAAGCACGGGGACTGTGTGTCCCTTGTCCTAGATCTCAACCATGGTCTATGAAGACAGATTAGCTGAGAAGAGTGATATTGGGTGTGGGGTACAGTAGGAGGTGGGCAATATAGGGGAAGAGGATGTAATGGAGAACAGCCTCTGCATATAAATCAGAGATATTACGGGAAAGAAAATTACAATTTCTACGTAGTTTTTGTTTGGTTTTTTTTTGTGTGTGCCAAGGATTGAACTCAGGGGCATTTAACCACTGAGCCACATCCCCAGGCCTTTTTATTTTGAGACAGAGTCTCACTAAGTTGCTTAGTTATTTTTTAAAGGTATGTAAATTTTATTCTTTTTTAAAAGGGCTACTTTTTAACCCTTATTTATACTTATGAATATAAATTAAGCAGGAATGAAGGCACCTGGAGGGTGATAAACTGTTTGGGGATTAAACTTGGTGTGTTCTTCCTGATCCTTGTATGGCCAGTATCAGCTAAGATGCATTGTCTTCAGAGGGGCCCACCTGCCAATCTAAAGGGGACAACTTTCCTCATTGGAAGTGTAGGGGGGGGGGTGATTTCTTCCTTGGTAATTGGTCAAGAGCTTTCTAACATGGAAGGTCAGAAATGTGTTGGTCATAATCCAGTGCCAAGTAGATCTTAAGCTGGACAGATATTCAATTCCCTTACGTCCTGAGCTGCAGGAACTGCAGAGGGTAAGGACTTCTTTCTACCCAGTGGTCACACCAGTAATCTAGAGCAAAGCCAGTCCTTTCCTAGGACAGAGAGGCCAGGGCAGTGTCACAGTTGGTAGGAAGGTCTGTTGCCACAGGCGTCCTCAGCAACAGCCTGCCTCTTGAGCCTGAGTTTTCATGATTTAAAGGTGTGGAAGTTTTATTTCACCCACTGACTCCTTTGCGTCTCTGAAGATATCCTCCTACTTGCAGAAGCGTGTCTGGGGACAGATGTGTAAACAGTTCTGGGCCAGTCTGTTTTACTACTTTAGATTTGAAATCTGCAGATCTGTTTTAACAAGCTCTCTCTGTTGGAATCTTAACAATGTAATGCCCTGAGTAAGGGCAGCTATCTCTCATTAATCTTTGTGTCATACCATGAAACAGTCTGAAGTGTTCTTCAAGTTGAGTGTTCTTGAACTCTACTTATACCTGGACTTTTATATAATCATTCTTTTCTGTTCACAACCCCATCCTACCCCAGCATTCCTCCAGTCTTTTCTCCGCACAACCAGAATGATTGCAACTCCTCATACCTGGGGGGTAGGAATATAAAATGGTGCAGCCACTTTGGAAAATAGTCTTGATAGTTCCTCTAATGGTTAAACAGAGGGTTATATGATGCTGCTACTCTTAGGCATGCACCCTAGAGAAATGAAAACTTGTGTCCACACAAACATTTGAACAGGAGTGTTCATAAAAATATTATTTATAATACCTGAAAAGTGAAAAGAAACTAAATGTCTATCAACTGAGGAATGGATAAATAAGATGTGCAAAATACAGTGAGGGGGTACTGTCTAAGGGGTGTAGGGTTTCTTTTGGGAGATAGTGAGTTCTAAGGTTGATTGTAGTGATGATTGCATCTCTGACTATACCAAGAGCCACAATTGTATACTTTATAGGTGAGTGGTCTGATACACTAATTATATCTCAATAAAGGTATTATAATTAAAGCAAGCAAAAACTGAGTCCTATTTGTCTCCTATTTAAATCTAGTTCTGAAACAAGTCCTGGTGACTTTATGCCATCAACACATAATGAGTCAGTTCATGTCTGTTCTCCATTTCTGCCTCCACCCTAGCCCAATCACCTTCACCTCTGGCCTCCAACTCCTGCCATGGCTTCCTGACTGGCCTTGTGGTTCACTCTTGCCCCCTCCCATGTGGCAAGAATTATCTTCTAAATGCAAACCAGAGCACCATTCTTCTATTTAAAACTCACCAATGGATTCCCCTGGGATTAAATTCCAGTTTGCATTGGAATAAAATATGTTCATCTATAATAAATTCATCATGGTCACTTGAGGTGGCTCTTATCTACCTCTCAGTATCTTTCCGTTCAGCACACCCACCTTATTTCAAGCCTTCAAATGTAAGATTACCTACCCATAATCCATCTGTAATTTTCCCATTTTGGTGTCTTTCAAATGGAGAGTGAGAATCTAAAACACAAGTAAAACTATCTGAGCTCAGAATCATTCTAAACCATTAAAACTGGTTCCCAAGTCTTCACTTCTCTGTCAAACCTAATTTGATACCATTTTTTTTTTCTTTAGCTACTTGCCTTTACTGAGTCCAAAACATTCAACCCAGTTTTCATAAGAAAGCAACTTTCTTTCCATATGTATATATAATTGATGTACTATGGTGTTTGGCTACATAATTACAATAACAACTACAACTGGCCTAAACAGGTGACAGTTTTGAATAAAGGTTGAATGGGTACTGGTGAAATATTTTCTGCTTCTCTTATACAAAAATTAAATTACAATGTTGCTAAGATAATAAGCAAGAACTTTGAAAACTTTGAACAATCTGAAGGATTAAGGATGTTGCTTTGAGACAGTCCATCATTATTGGCCGTTTTAGTTGGTTCCAGTTGGTCATTATTATAATCAATATTGTGGTGGTTCCCCTTTTGCCTCTGTCCTTACACAATTGCTAGATTACTTCCTGGAAATAATCCTAAAGATTCCTGTGAGCATAACTCACCTTTGTTATCATAGTAGATTCCTTTGAAAGAATATCAGGAAGATTGAAAAGAGCAGCTGAGAAAGAGAATTATTTAGTGGTTAGTTTAAAAAAAAATCCAATACACAAGATATGCTGAGGTCCTGACTTGCTAACTGCAAAGCTTGACTTCGTAGAAGGCATGTATTACATCTCTCCTCCTACAATCCTAACACTGGAATAATACCTGGGGGGAGTAACTCTGGTAGTTACAGAAATAATGGCATAATTAATTTCAAACTACATTGACATAGACACAGCCCAAGCTGTTTGTTCACATTCTGCTTAATGGATCTGTTTGAAGTTCTTAGCCTCAATGGAAAAAGGATGTCCCTGGAAAACATTCCCAGGTAGCTCAAGATATCAGAGAAATGAATGTTTCTCTCATAACTCAGGGGTCCAGTAGAACCAGACATTCCAGTAATTCTCTCAGGTATAAGACACTGCCCCTGTTTCCTAAGAAAACCTTTTTCTTAGTTGTAAAAACTTCAGGACAGGAAGCAGAAAGACCTACTTGTGAATGTTTGATATTAACATTAGGAATGGTGCTATTATCAGACTCCTGAGGCACAATAAGTACTAAGCAGGTGTTCCTAAAAGGTTATGCCCTGTGCTCACTTAGGCAGTGCATGTACTAAAATTGGAACAATATAGAGAAGATTAGCATGGTTCATGTGCAGGAGCTTTTGCAATCTGTGAAGCACTTCATACTTTTCTGAGACTGTTTGCCATGCTGAGAGCTATTCTCTCAGCCTCTGGGATGGACTGTAAGGACTCTGAGTCAGAGAGAGGGGCTGGGGCTTTCTCCTGAAAACTTGTCCCTTTGTGCCTCACTGAAGGCTGAGCCAGTGACCTTGTTTTCCCTCACTGTGACAGAATACCCGAGAAAAAAAAATGGTTTAAAAAGAGGAAAGATTTATTTTAACTCATAATTTTAAAGATTTCAAACTGTGGCTGCTTAGCCATATTGTTTTGGGCCTCTGGCAAAACAGAACATTGTGGTAGGAGAAGGTGAGGGAGCAATCTTCCAGGAATAAGAGAACAGGGACGAGAAAGGGGGCAGGGTACCAATGGCCTACTTCCCCCAACTAGGCCCCGCCTCCTAAAGTTTTTACCACCTCCTAATAGCGCATTTAGTTATAAATCCAGTATGAATCCTACTAATCCAGTTGTGAGGTCAGAGACCTGTGATACAATCACCTGCCAGAGGTCCCACCTCTGAACACTGCTACACTGGGTACCAAGCCTTCCACACACGAACTTTTGGGGGGCATTTAAGATACAAACCATAACAAGAGACATGAGAACAGTGCCTGGCTTTGTGGAATCAGTGCAGGCACTGGAGTCAAACAATTCTGAATTCAATCCATTCTTCTCTTACCCTCTATGTCACTGTGAACCTGATACCAAACCCTGCAAGCCTTAAAGTTAATGCTCATTCAACAGTATTTATTGAGCACCCACTGTGTGCATGTCTTTGTGCTAACAACTAAAGGCACACAAACCAATGAAATATAGTGAAACTTTGCTCCATAATGAAATGAGAGCAAAGTTTTCAGCCTTGAGGCCAATGGACCAATTTAGTGAAGCAGAATATGGGAGAGTATGTGACACATAATGGCATTCAATCAACACCTATTTTGTTCTCCTTTCCTTACTTCTTCTGCACCAGAGTCTCTGGATTATCAGTTCTTCAAATGTCAAGGAAGGGTCTGAGAAGCCCATGTTGGCTTGAATGAGAAATGCTAACATCAGTTTGGCATGAGCTCTATATTGGCTCTCTTTCATGCCTCCTTCTCTCCCCCTCAGATTTTCATTGCTATTGGGGGAAATTCTTTACTTTCAGAGCCTGTGTTCTACTTTTTCTTCTTCTTGATTCTCTGTGGTGCATCTGACCAATTTCCTCAGAATGATCTCCAGTTCACTAATACTTCCTTTCACTGTGTCTAGTCTGCTATGTGGTCCTGGTGCTCTTGGATGGCTCTGTATGGGTTCAGCCTTATTCTGGAGGCATCATTTTTCCCCTTACATCAACAACAGAAAAATCTTATAGGAATCAGACTCAAGACAAATTCAAAATGAGTGAAATACCCATCTGAATAGGTACTTTAGAAAATTCCTCTGGTAACTGTTAAGAATATAGGCCAGAAATTTTTGGAGGAACAAGAAGCTTACTGATGGGGGACTGGACTAATTATAAAATGTATTTAATTAGCCTGTCTGAAGAGATATGTCTGTTGCAACCATGTCTTAAATAGATACCTAGAAGGTGGTGACTCAATATATGAGTGAGTCTGAGCCAGGTAGAGGGTTTGGGGGAATGAGGACTTTGGGACCAAGGTTTAAGAGAAGGACCTCAGCAGAATGGTTCAACTTCCCTGAGCCTGTTTATTCATCTGCAAAGTAAAAACAAGAACACCCAACTCACAGTGTGACCTTGATCTGATGTGACCTATGTCTGGCTTTCTATTCACTCCTGATCCATCACTGAAGTCACATGCTCAAGCCTTCTTGTACCTCCACTCCTCTAAGTTCATTTCTGCTTGGTGAGCAGTATTCACAGACTCATTCTAGTGAGTCACTCTCCAACCACCCAGACCCACAATAATGAAAATCATGTTTGACATGGATTACAACCCATACAATATCTGGGTGTCTTTGGTAACCAGAAAATCTGATGAGGCAATGGCTGCATAGCTGATGCTTCAGCACCAGACAATATGGGGAAGCAAGCTGCACATTCCAAGTTAAGCCTGTGCATCCAGAAGTTGGAACCTGCCCATCCCCACAGGTCTTTCCACTTTCATTCCCCAAACAAAGGAGTGCCAGTGAGCCTGTCCTTTGCACCCTCTCCTCACCTTCTGTGCATCAGCTGCCTGAGGAGATAAGCAGTCAGGAAAAAGAGAGTGAGGGAGCCAGCTTGCCTGCCATTCCCCTCTGCAGGCTGTAGGTGAGGACACCTACTCCCAGCATAGCCCTCTCCCCCCAGCATTTCCCTGCACCAACCCCAGTTCCTGGACAAGCAGCAGGGGGAGAGCAGCAAGTCCTATCAGGATACATCAGAAGACGAAAACTCTCTCTCCACCATGGTGGGACCACAGCCCATACCCAGGGCAACAGCAAGAGCTAGAAGGGGGCTAACAGGAGAATTGCCACCTGTGTTTCACAAACATGCTGCTGCATACCACATTGCTGCCTACCAGTCCAAAAGACAAGCCCTGGAGTCAGAAACAAAGTAACTCCACAAATAGATGACAGAGACAGAAAAAAACAATGGACCACCAGAGGACCCTAAGCTCTGTGAGATTGTGGGCAAGAGCTCAATTGGTCAAGGCAGTACAAGGACTAAACTTCCCCTGAGCAGTTCTCTATCTTTCTCCACATGTTGTGTTCTGTCTCTTAAACAGACATTAACCAAATACAGGTTTGAAGGATGTTTCCCTGCTCTATTTACACAGTATCAGTCTAATTGTGCACTCTGCTGATGTTATTGTGTTTAGGATGGCAGAAACATGTATAGGTAATGGTAGGGTAAGAAACATCTAGTTAGGTGTTGGGTAAAGAAGAGTTTGCAGAGTAATCTCTTCACATTTTAAACATTTAGATTGTGTAGATCATCATTTTAGTAAGGACAAGCCAGAGCAAAGGAAGTGAAAAAGAACCTTTTTCTGATTTTTTGTTCATTTTCCTGCCAGGGCAGTCTGCCCTTGAAAAAGCATGCCCCTCAAACATCTGCTATTCCTTGCACTTGCAAACTCATTAATGGCATTTTCCCAGAGACCCAGAAATAGCAAATTCCATTAAAAGGCTTATCATTAAATACAATGCAGCTCTTTATGGGGGAGAAGGATGGCCTCTGAATAAGAGTCCATTAGGGCTGTGGGCTGGAAAAAACGGGTCAGCTTTCTTTTAAGGGAGAAATTAATACAGCAGGCAAGAGCCAGCAATACTGCCAACGTTCATCTTGCAAAGCTTTCCCTCTTCTTGCTGCCAAAGTGCATTCATCCAGACTTGCTATTCCTGTCCTCAGCCTCCTGGAGCAAGGCCCATTTGTCCTGAGGAAGACTATCAAATTATCTGGCGACAGCCTAAATAAATATGAGAGGGAAGATTAGAACTGAGTATTCTGTGAGTGTGTGTGTGTGTGTGTGTGTGTGTGTGTGTGTGTGTGAGAGAGAGAGAGAGAGAGAGAGAGAGAGAGAGAAAGTATGCCCATGCTCGCACACTTTCGCATGTATACTGACTGTAATCTAAACCAGGTCACTAAAAGCAAAGCTAATCAGTAACTCATTTGCTGACCTGTCTCTCTTTTGGTGGGTCCTAATATCATTTTCATGAGACGTGCATGACTCATTGCCAAATCCAGGAGGTGCTGTCCCCAGGAAGAGCCAATATAGAGAAACTTGTTTTTGATATAGCAGGTCAGCATTCACAAGGTCTGTGCAGCATCCTCTCTCCTCACTGTGACTTAGGCCAGCTGAAGCACAGTACTTGGAGGGACCTTAGTTGCCAAGGTTGACGGGCAGGGGAAAAACTAGCACTGAACAAAATGGGAGCTGGGAATTGAATTGAGAATAGCCACGGACAATGTCCAAAAACAACACAGGAATGAGTGGGGCACATCCCTATCCTGGGAGAGCTGTCCAGCTGGGCAGGGTAGGGCAGTGAGGTTTCCCCAGGTGGAATTGTTCAGAAGTCAGGGGAGTGGGAAGTTGGAAGTAGGCGCTCTGTCCAAATTCAGCAACATCCCCTAGCAGAAAACGGACATGAAGACCCAATGCCACAGGAGAGGGTAAGCAGGCTGCCAGATTCTTAGCAAACAGCAGAGAATTTAAGGAGTCTGTAAGACGTTCACAAAGAGACTTACAAGGTAATTTGATATATAATTGTGCTAGTTTATATGTTTGTATATCTAGCAAATATTTGTTTGCTCCTGTCATCCTCTTTAACCCTGTGAGTAGAGATTACTTCCACATCCCTTTGGTGATGGGCTTCTCTGAAACTTTGGTGTATAGTATGTTAAAGGAAGTGAACACAGGAAGAGGCCTGAGCTGGTACAGATTGGTGATTGCTATGAGAAGAGTAGGCAAAGTAGCCACTGCCCTACAGCCAGGCCTTAACAGAGCAGACCAGTACCCGGCTCCTAGTCTGAACCAGACTAGTATGACCTGACACTTGAAGCCTAGAGCAGATCCATTCAACTGAGCTCACAGGATCAATCAGGTCAGCCACTGTTAACATCTATGAGAATAAGTGCTTCAAACTGGAGGTAACTGAGTTTAATTTTTATGTGACATACTTGTGGGCAGTCACTGACTTCTGCAGTAGACCTGGAACTTGGAAAAGATGTTTGGTCTAGAGATTGCTTTTAAAAAAAGTGCATTTGTTCATTTACTCAGCAAATATTTAGTTCAAACTTAACTCTCTGCTGAGTACCTTCATTTACTGATATGGAGGATACAGTTCAAGATCCCTATAGGAGCAGGCCTCTTGACAGGTTTCCTAGAGAGAATTTGCAGAGTGAGAAGAGAAGGCCTTCAAAATGGAATCTCAGGGATTGCTAGCCCATGAAGGAAACTTTAGAGAGGTTAAGAGGAGACTCAAGTGAGGGAGGTGCTTCAGAACCCCAGGAAGAGAGCCATCAACCTTTAATGAGGAAAGAGTGTTTACCAGGGACAGGTTGTGTGGAGAGGTGAGGTGGACTGAGGCCTGAAC